TCTGAATCTCCTTCTATAACCACTTTTAGTCACTCATCTTTCCCTCCTACAGGCTATTAATCACCCATTAGGACTTCCTCAAGCTTCTTTCCCTTTGGTGAAGACTTCTCTTTCTACAGGGTCTGGCACAAATAATGCCCCCCTTTTTAAAACAAAATCTTTATTACAAAATCATAAGCATGTAATTCTGTAACATAACAATATCACACTCAAGCACACCATATGACATTTTAGGTGAAATGTTCAGATTAAAACTATAAATTATTACACCCATATTATTACCCTACTGGCCACACTCAAGCAGGTGTTACTTCTGCCAGACCCTGTATAGCATTAAATCAAACCTGCAGGTTATAGATATTAATACCTTATGTAATATTGGTCAAAATTAATGTTTTTATAGACCAAAGTTATTTTTTATGCATAGAAAAAAAACAGTGAGGCTGAGAATATTTAATTTCTACTTTATATAATTTGCAATTGTTTCATTTTCCACAGTGAGCAGATAATATCCTTACAATTAGGAAAAATAAGTATGTTTTCTAAGGTTAAAATGTAGGATTAACTATGAACTTTTTGCCTCCCAAATTTTAGAGAACCAACTGAAATTCAATAAAGAAATGAAAAGGAAAAAAAAAGCAGCAGAGCGTAACACCCTTTATATCTGAATTTCTCCTTATGGTCCCAACGTGGCTATTACAGCTCTAGGTGTTACATATTCACACTGTAATGTAGAGGACAAACTCGTACAACCCAGAACAGCTACCTGCTCTTTTGTGTTTCTTTTAACAGAAGGGAGCTTTTTATGGAAGATTTCAGCCGAATTCTTTCCACATTTCATTAGGTATACAATAGGGTCACACACCCCTTCTCAAACTAACCATTGCCAAAGGAAAGGGAGTTAATAATTGGATTATGGACCATTCAAGAGATTCTTGGACTGGAAAGTAATCCTTACTAAACACACACCCTCCAAAAGGAGAAAAAACAGGCAACAGTTAAGGACCTGCCAACAAGAAAGCACCTGGAGAAAAATCAAATCGTTCTCACCACATAAATTCCTTTAACAAAATTTTGAACCCCTCCTTCCCTCCTAGATTTTCTCAACTCTTTCCTTTTTCTCCTGAACCCTCTGGATCCATGACAATAATTCCCCATCCTCCGCCTCTTCTCTGAATAAACATTAAGAGTTTTGAATGTTTCCAACTCCTTGCCTTAACTCTGTTCTTCTACACATGGTTTTATTTTCCATGCCCCCACATATCTCAGGGCTAGAAGATCAGGTGGGAGTCCTTCTTATTCTCCACTGGCTCTTTCAAATATTTTTCCTTTTACTTCTTTCAAAAATCACAACTCTTTTGAAGCTCATACAGAAAGTCACCCCCTGTTACATATGCTAGGTGTGGTGAAAACTGGGTAACTCCTCTTCATTCATTCAAATCTTGGGCTTCATATTCAATATATTTCACTCTACCTTTATTCTTGTCAATTTCTGTATTCAGTTAGATGTAAAGGAAAGAAAAGACAACTCCACACATATAATCATCATGCAAATTCTTCATACGTAATTTACCACCTTATGCTACTTTAAACTTTAAAACAAAGTAGAGCCCTGGTTGGTGTGGCTCAGTGGATTGAGTACCAGCCTGCAAACCAAAGGGTTGCTGGTTTGATTTCCAGTCAGGGCACATGCTTGGGTTGTAGGCCCGGTCCCCACTTCGGGGCATGTGAGAGGCAACCAATCCATCTATCGCTCTCATATCAATGTTTCTCTCCCTCTCTTTCTCCTGTTCGTGGGAGATCTCAGCTGAATCTTCCTCACATTTCATTAGGTATAATAGTCCTAGAAAATCTTTTTCAAATTCTTGTATGTATCCTGACTAGAGATCCAGACCTTGGCATATCGGGACTATGCTCTAATTAACTGAATGACCTTTCCAGGGCTGTGTTCAACTAATTTTTGACAAAGGTGAAACAGCAATTAAATGGAAGATGGATAGCATTTCAACAAATGGTGCTAGAAAAATACCTGTAGGCAGAAGAATAAACCTCATTAAACCTTTTACCTTAGGTAAAAATTAACTCCAGATGAATCACAGATTTCAATGTAAAATGTAAACTATAAAATTTGGGAGAGGAGGAAGAGGAGAAAAGGGATCCAGGACTAGTCACATGAACCCAAAAGCATGATCCATAAAAGGAAAAACCGATAAACTTAACCTCATTAATATTAAACATTTCTGCTCCGCAAATGCCCCTGTTAAGACATGAAAAGACACATAACAGACTAGGAAAAATGTCTACATACCACAAAGCTTACAAAATACTTGTATTTGGAAAATATAAGAACTCCCAAAGCTCAAAAGGATAAAAAACTAACTAGAAATAGGCAAAAAACATGAACAGACATTTCAATGAAGAGAGTATACAGATGATGAATAAGCACAGGAAAAGATGTTCAATATAATTAATTAATTAGCCATTAGGGGAATGCAAATTTAAACCACAATGAGGTATCACTATGTACCTGTCAGAATGAATAAAATTTAAACTAGTGATGAGGCCACTGGAAAACATAAAATTGTACAGCTGTGTAAAATATTATAGACTAGTAGTTTGTACTATATAGTTTATACTACTATTATATAGTAGTTTGTATTAGTAGTTTATAGAAATACTATATAAAATATTATATAGTAGTTTAGCAGATTCTTCTAAAACTAAAATGTACAACCTAGCCATTTTCACTTTTGGGCATTTGTCTCAGAGAAATGAAAGCCTATGATTATGTAAAACCTGTACACAGATGTTAACACCCCCAAACTGGGAAAAATGGCAGTGTGCCTCAATGAGGGAAAAGTTAAATTGTAGTACATACCCCTTCTTTCATCCCCCAAGATGAATGAAAGAAGGAATTGACTCAATATTTTAAAAATGTTACTTCTCTCCCAAATTCATCTATAGAGTCAATGAAGTTTCAATCAAAATTCCAGCAGGCTTTTTTTTCTTTTGTAGGAATTGAGAAGTTGACTTTACAATGTACTTGGAAACACAAATGACTGAAAATAGTCAAAGTGATTTTTAAGAAAAAATGTAGGATTAACTCTATCTGGTTTTCAGACTTACTATTAAACTATACTAAAAAGTATAGTGCAGTATAGAGATATATAAATCAAGAGATCATTTTCAGAAGAAAACACAAAGTAAAAAAATAGACCACACATTTTATGGTCAAGTGATTTTGAATAAAGATGCCAAGAAAATGTAACAGGAAAAAAAGTTTTATTTTTTTCCAACAAATGTGTGAATAAATTGGTATTTGTATTTCATAAAATATCAACTCTTACCTCATACCACACACAAAAATTAACTGGAAGTGGATGACTGACCTAAATGTGCAAGCTAAAATTATAAAACTTCTGAAAAATTTTTTTAAATCTTCCCAAATTCTCATATGCAAAGTCTGATAGCACTGAGAGTAGGAAACATAAAACAAAAATTCACTGTACTTAAAAATTTCTGACCTTCAAAAACTCCACTTGTAAACAAAAAAGGCCAAACATAGAGCAGAATGTTCACAGCATGCATCTGACAAGAATATTATATCCAGAATAGAGAAATCCTACAACTCAATGAGGAGAAAACAAAACAATTTAAAAACAGAAAAACATTTAAGGAGGGACTTTATAAAAGAAGATATACAACTATCCAATAAGCACATTAGAAGATGCTTAACATCAGGGAAATGCAAATTAAAGGCACAATGCACTGCCACTACATGCCCATTAGAATGGTTAAGATTAAAACCACTAACAGTACTAAGGGTTGGCCAGGATGGGGAGCACTGGTACCTTCATACATGATCGGTAGAAATGCAAAATGGTACAATCCCTTTTGAAGTCTTTTTGGCATTTTCTTAAAAAAAGTTAAACATATGCTAGCTATATCACCCAAAAACACTCATCCAAGAGAAATGAAAACATATGTACACACAAAATCCTGTAAACATAAGCTCATAGCAGCTTTATTCACAATAATGAAAAAGTAGAAACAAATGTCCATCATCTACACAATGTAGTGCATTCATTCAATGTAATACTACTCAGCTGTAAAAAGCAATAAACTTACTGTATGATTCCACTTACATAAAATTCTAGAAAATACAAAGGAATCCATAGTGACATAAAACTGACCCATGATTGTCTGGGGTTGGGGGTGAAGGGAGGAATATGCAAAGGGCATGATGTAAATTTTCTGTATTAAGAATTGAGCAGGTGGTTTGTTGAGTATATTATACATCTGTCAATACTCTCAAACTGTAGGCTTTATATGGAAGGAATTTATTTTATGTAAGTGATACTTCAATGAAGCTGGGGTGTTTCTTATGACAATCCTCTGAAAGAGTCTGAGCATAGAAATGAATGTCATGGTGATTGCCTTCAGGGAATTCATAATCACTCCCCGCCCCCCAGTATTACTCTTTTTCATGCCTAAAAACTTGTGGATTTTCACTGATTCCTTTGCTGGTGTTTTGTCCTATTTGTGTTATGTATATTTGCAAAATGAGAGAAAGGTTTAATCTGTGGCAGACAGAATCTGAAACTTTAACTTTCTTTCCTCGAAATCAGCATTTACAACCCGTTAAGTCTTTCTGGCAAAACATAATGTTTAAATAACATTGCCGATTAAGTCCAGGCAGTGAGGAACAAAAGTAACATTCAGTTGCAATCCAAAGTTGCATAAAGTTGAAACATCTCCTAATAAAGCATTGAGATAATTTTTCTATAGATAAAGTTAGGGACGAAAGACTCCTGAAACATTCAAATAGATTTTACCCTAAGCGTGGTTTAGGGACATTTTAAACTACCATAAATGAATGTGATGTATAATTTCACACAAAGAAGACTACCCATATGAGTGTAACCACTTTTAATACACTTCTCACTCTGCAATATTTTAAACACTTTATTTTTAAGATCAAATATGCAAAACAAACTTACCGAAGAAATGATTTAATATTTTCAGCTTTCATCTCAGATACGAGGTTCTGCCGTACACTTGGATGATAGCTCAGTGTAGTGTCAATTTCTTTGAGAGGCTTAATAAACCAGCCTATGGGAAGAATACACATATGCACATATACATACTATATAGGTATTCACATAATTATTTTAGACTTTTATAAAAGCTAGAAGCCAAAAATAGCCCTTCCCTAAGTAAGAAATAGATTTCTTACTTATGGTGAGCTTTACAGGTATATTCACATTAAATGCAGGGAAACTTCCAATTCTGCTGTATAATGTGATTTTGAATTGGTTACAGCGAGTTTTATATTAGGGAAGTTCTTTTCATTTTCTCACGTTAGCCATCAAGGCAAGGACCTTTGTCTTGTTCTCCCTGAGGGAACTAGTCCCTGACACACATGGAGCATTCCACAAATATTTGTTTAATAAATGATGAGGGAAGGACAGTTTTTGCAATGCTGCACATATTAATTACAAACTTTGACTCATTAATGCTTGAAACTGAAACCACCGTTTTCGTACCTGCGGATAGTGACAACTCTGAACTGTCTTTCCAACAGTCGTTATCAGTACCCTGACTCAGTGAGCATTTAATAAATCTGGATTTCAGGCACACTTTAGAAGGAAGGCCCAAATGCATTGCATTCGGTTTCCAGTTTGGCCGAAACTCTGGGAGTTCACCCTCTGCACTGAGACTGAGCTCAGCTGGTCGAGCGAGCCCAGCACAGCCTAACCCGGTTTTCTCCGCGGTACAACGCCACCCTGGCCTGGGGAGAAGGGGTTTGTACACTTACCCATCATAAATCCTACAAGGAAAGACGCCAGTGCGGCAGCCAAACACATCCAAAGGTACAGACGGCCCCTGGACTTCGCCATGGCTTCTTCCCGACTGAGCTCAGAGCGAAGTCTGTGGTAAGGAGCTTGAGAAGTGCAGATGGACGGAGAGAATGCCTGCGGGGACCTGGCGAGCGTCCAGCCTCCCGCCTGGCGTGGCCACCGCTGGCCACGCCTCCTCCTCCCGGGTTCGTCCAAAGGAGAGTAAAACCCTGTGAGAAACAGCTCTTGGCTCCTTTGGTCCTCGGGGGACTGTGAGGGGAGAACCCTGCAGGGTAAGCAAACATATTCTTCCTGTTGGTTGGCGACTTTCAGTCTATTGATCTTACGGTTACCCAGACAAAGTGTGCTGTGGAGGCTGCTGAAAACATCCCTACCTGTTTCCTGAAGAACTCTGTTCACCTGCATCTTTGTCGCCTCCATACTAGGAATTGCTGAATTTCAGCTGGAATTGCATTTAAGTAATGCTTTTCCTTCCCTGTAGATTACCTTGCTGCTCCAGGTCCTCTGTCCTAATTTCTAACTGGTCACAGTAGGGAAGCATTTTGGGTCCTGACAGCCCCACTGTAACGCAGGAGATTTTTCACCACCCATCGACATCGAAACTGATAGGACTGGGCATTAACTGAAGTTGGTCCAGTGTGTGGTGTCATCCCGCAGTGCCATTCCAGTCACAGGCACTGGCCTGGGCTTCAGGCCAGGTCCCCGGTTGGGGGCACGTGAGAGGGAACCAATCCACCTGTACCTCTCACATCCATATTTCTTTCTCACTTCCTTCCCCTCTCTCTAAATATGAAAATAAATAAAATCTTTTCTAAAAAACTGGTAGGATTGGGTTCTTTTGTTCCTCCTTAACTAAATAAGCCTCCAAATTTCTGTAATTCTGTTTCTTCAGTAACTGGGGTTTTTCCCTACCTCACAAGAGTGTTGTAGGTTCAGATTAACCATTGAATGTACTTTGCTTCATAACTGACAGTAGGTTCTCAACAAATACCATCCCCCTTGTTCTCCCCTTCCTACTGAGACAGGTCAATAAGGTGCTAGGAAAATTCCTGGGCATGTGGAATGGGAAACAGACAAGAAAATTAAACAAGGCCAAACAGTTTGAGCATCTTACAGCCAGCTGGATGGTTAATTGTAAGACCTTATCTCCCCTAACCAAAGACACCTGAGAGCAAGTGGTTTCTACCTCTCCACCCTAACCAGACTATATATAACCTTCCTGGCCATAACCGCAGGTGTAGTAACAAAGATGGAGATCATGGGAAGAGGCTGCAGACTCCCTTCTCACCTCCCCATAGTAATTTCCCCCTCCTAAATTCCCAATTTTCCCCTAACTGACTTCTAAAAGCTCAAGGGCGAGTGGATGTTAGGGTTTTAACTCTCCAACTTCTTAGATTGCTCACCTCTGATATTAATAAAAGTGCAATTATAATCCAGTCCCTATGTCTGCTTTTTGGCCGAGCTATGACTGGCAGCTTGAGCCCTGGATTCCATTGCCCTCCCATTTCACAACCGCATTTATAGATGTTTCTCTTTAAAAGTGTTTTTATCTTGCCCTGGCTGTTGTGGCTCAGTGGATTGAGTGTCAGCCTGCAAACCAAAGGGCCATTCCCAGTCAGAGCACATGCCTGGGCTGTACGCCAGGTTCCTCACTTGAGGGCATGTGAGAGGCAACGATTGATGTATCTCTTGCACATTGATGTTTCTCTACCTCTCTTTCTCCCTCTCTTCTCCTCTGTCTAAAAATAAATAGAGTCTTTTAAAAAACTATTTTTTTAAAAAAGGTGTTTATCTTTATAGTAAATAAGTTTTTGAACAACCAAAAAAAGTGTTTAAAAAGTTTGCAATATGGTGGTCCTTATAAATAGGACTCCTGCATCCACCCATTTCACCCTAGAGGAAATCTTCAGCAGCTCCTGACTAGATTCCTCGTATCCAACCAAAACTAGTTTTGCAGCCAAAGGATAAATGCCTACTGAGTGGATTATGAAAGAGACAGTACATTTACAGCTACACACTCAATCTTCACTATGTTTTCTGAGGACATGATGATCTCAGCTGTGAAAAATAACATAAATAGATGGAGTTGGAGCCACCATCCAGAGGAACTGCCTTATCCATCTGACTTCTCAAACTTTGAAAGGTTTTTTTTTAAGATTTTATTTATTTACAAAGAGATAGGGAAAGGGAAGGAGAAAGAGAGGGAGAGGAAGAACAGTGTGCTGAGAGATACATCAATTGGTTACCTCTTACACGCCCCCAAGTGGGGAACCTGGCTCACAAACCAGGCATGTGCCCTGATTGGGAATCAAACCTTCAACCTTTTGGTTTGCAGGCTGGCACTCAGTCCACTGAGCCACACCAGCCAGGGCTGAAATATTTTAAATGGGCAAAATAACTGGAACAAAGCAACATGGTATTCCGAACAACTGTTTGCAAAGTACACATTCTGGCTGCTGAAATTAGCAGCACCTTGTATAGTTGAAGAGTAACTTAACTTATCTGCACCAATAGAAATTCCCTCCTTCTGTTAATGTGATCATTCTCCTTCCCTTTCTTATAAAATCCCCTTGCCTTCACCCCCTAATCAGAACACTATCTGGGTTTCTGCCTGAATCAGTGCTTTTTGAATAGCTGTTCTTTTGGATATCAGATAAATGCTTGTTGCCTACCACATTAGTCTTTTAGTTTAAATTAACATAGTTAAGGCCTTTGCTCCTAAGGAGTTTCCAGAAGAGTCTAATTTCTTTTTCTTTCACTATAATTGTTGATGAATGTATCTGACGGTTTTTCTCCTGGCACTTTTGTGCAATTCCTGATAGTTATCTTTGAACCAAATATTGCAAGTGATTAATTTATTTCAAAATACTTCTGTGTTGTTAAAACCCAGTTTCTACTTTAACTGTTGGGGGATGGTGACAAGGGTCTCCTCTATGCCACAAATAATATCAAATGTTATTTGTGTTAGTATACACAAAAAAAATGTGTTATGTTACACATATAACTCTTAAGGATTATGTAATTTTTTTAAATCCTCACCTAAGAATATGTATTTTTATTATTGACTTTAGAGAGAGAGGAAGGGAGAGAGAGAGAGAAACACAGATGCGAGAGTGAAACATTAGTTGGTTGCCTCCTGTACACACCCTAACCTGGGATCCAACCCACAACCTAGGCATGCACTCTGACCGGGAATGGAACCATCAACCCTTGCTGCCCAGGACGACACTACAACCAATCATGCCACCCACCCAGGGCTGCTTATATAATTTATTTCTAGGCCCTTGGCATTTTCTATCTGCTACTCATGGGATCATTATTGACCACATGTTTCTCACAAGGCAGATCAAAATCATCTCTAGAAAAAGGCTTGTTGCAGAATGAGGAGTTAGAGCATAGTGATTAAAATGACTGTTACTTGTGAAGTTTGCTTTTACCTACTCATATCAATGTTATTGCTAAAATTTGATTAGTGGAGGAAATCAGTATATTAACTAGCACAGTTTCCCAACTTGATTAATTTGCCCCAATTAAAACTTGTTTATTCTTAAATCAATATTATTGAGAGGCTATAACATGCCAGACATTGTGAAAAATTCTGAGAATATGATCCTTGCCTTTAGGAAGCCTACAATACAATGAGAAAACAAATATTGAACACATAACTAAATACAAGTGTTCTGAGAAGGAACAGTATCACCTTAAGTGTGATGGTTGTCGCTGCCGCAGTAGGTGGCATCTACAGTCTTTATCTTGCCAGTCCATTGTGGAAAGTCCAGGTCGCTGGCTCAGTGCATCTTTAGCCTTTTGTTAGCACAGAAATGTTATTTTATCTTAATTAACCTTATAAGAGAAGGTTGCTATCACAGTTTCTAATTATTTGTATCTTGGAAGATATTTGCTTCCAGCAAACACACTTAACAAAGCAACCTGTTGATTTACACCAACACCTTTCAATCTTTCCTTCAAAGCTAAAAAGTGCATCTGAAACTTTTAGTGTTGGAAAATGCATCTTTCAATTACATTATTTAACACATTTGACCTGCTCATTATTCAGTGAGCCTCTAACATGACAGAACTATTTTCTCCATTCACAAACTTAAATTTCTCTTATATAGTCTTTTCCCACCTTCTCACATCCTGAAAGAGACAATCTTGTAACTTCAAAGTTCAAACCCCATCATGGGTCAAGGGGGATTTGAAAACAAAATATAACATATGCCCTAATAAAACAGTATATGTAAGTTCCTGAATGAACATACCAGTAGCTAAGATTTACTAGAGAAGAAATAATGTTTAACTGTGCCAAGTTTCATATTTTGTTTGAAGATCTTGCCTTATCTTTCCTGAGAGGGACCCTTGTGCTACAGCACAGATATGGACCTGATACAGATGTGATACAGACATTGATGATGTCACAAGGTCACATGATGACCTGGCCATCCAGATGGCAAAGCTCACTTTCTGAAGAAGTGAAAGGGTGATGTTCAGGTGGCTGAGATCCATGAGAAAAGATCTATTCCAGCTGAATATTTCTGAACCTTAGGTCCAGAAACTGCCAAAAATCACTCCAAATTTAAGATGTGAGAATGTTAGTACATTGTACACTATACCATAACCTGTAAGAGTCAATGAGAAGTAAGACACAGTGTAAGTAGTGACAAAAGGATAAAAGACTAATAAAAGTGAGATGAAATTTTAAAGGGAAAGCACAAAACCATGATTGGGTGTTTTCCTTTTGATGTCACAATTGCTCTACTCAGCAGTAGGTGTATAGAGTAGAAACCCCCAGCCAGTTACAGTGTAAAACAGAAGACCCCCACCCATGCCCTCCCATCCACACAGGATGTGAATACCGTGGTGCTAACATTCCAGCGGGAAACCCAGCACTGGTGAGTTCTATTAGTTGGCATTTAAAGCAAATTTTCTTGGTCAGTATTTCTCATTCCTGATCAGCATGTGCCTTCAAGTCTGTTTTCCGTGGTGACTAATGGTGCTGAGATCAGGGGCCACTCGAGTTTTTCCTCCAGCACTCGAATCCTCTGGCCTCGTTCACATCCTCAGTCCCTGAGGACTGTCAGTATCGTTAGATTCTGAAGAAATCTCCAATGGAAAAAA